CACATCCTAGCTCATAGTAGGAATTCAAACAGCTGATAAATGAATTCAGGAGCTTTTAGTGTTGAGAGGCCTCATGGGACTCTGAAGTGGTCTATAGTGAGAAACTTGGTCTTGGTGAACTAAAGGAATTTTGTATTCACAATATGTAATTTCTCATACGAGAAGTAAGGTTTAGAAATAAAAACATTGGCCGGGTGCAGTGGCTCACGCCTGTAATCCCAGCATTTTGGGAGGCTGAGGCAGGTAGACCACCTGAGGTCAGGTGTTCAAGACCAGCCTGACCAACGTGGTGAAACTCCATCTCTACTAAAAATACAAAAATTCACCAGGCGTGGTGTCGTGCGACTGTAATCCCAGCTACTGGGAAGGTTGAGACAGGAGAATTGCTTGAACCTGGGAGGCAGAGGTTGCAGTGAGCCGAGATCATACCAGTGCACTCGAGCCTGGGCGACAGAGCGAAACTCCATCTTAAAGAAATACATTTGTCTTACTCAACAGTCCTCTTTTAGGGTGAAAGGTTTTCTAAAATAAAAACTACACAATACTGCAGGGCTTTTTCTCCACCTATGAGTAGCTTATTTTACTACCTAACCATATGGTAACTCATTTTACCACAGCAGCCACAAATTGGATAGCACAGATATGGAACACTTCCATCACTGCCAGAAGTGTTATTGGGCAGTGATGATATAGAACTCTTCTGCATAAAAAAAATTTTTTTTTTTTGAGACGTTGTCTTGCTGTGTTGCCCAGGCTGGAGTACAGTGGCGCGATCTCGGCTCACTGCAACCTCCGCCTCCCGGGTTCAAGCGATTCTTCTGCCTCAGTCTCCTGAGTAGCTGGGACTACAGGCGTGTGCCACTACACCTGGCTAATTTTTGTATTTTTAGTACAGATGGGATTTCACCATATTGGCCAGGCTAGTCTCGAACTACTGACCTCGGGTTCCTCCTGCCTTGGCCTCCCAACATGCTGGGATTGCAAGCATGAGCTACTGTGCCTGGCTGGTTCTCTTAATACACCTCCAACTTGTTACATCTGAGATAGAGCTCCGGAGACTTCCCACTCTAAAATCATTTCTCCTTCAGTCTTCCTTATCCCCTTCTCTTCCAGCCAGATTCCTGGTAGTCATTCTTACCCCCTCCCCAACCATCAGCAGCTGTTCACCATGTTTATATCACATGTTGCCTCTTTTCTTTATGTCTTTGCCACAGCCATAGTCTAGACCATGCTATCCTCTCCCACCAAGATGACTACAGTGACCTCCAGGTCTGTCTTTTCCTTATCCTTGTGTCTTCAAAGTATTCTCCATTTAGTAGCCAGAATGATCTTGTGAAATGTAAATCAGATGTTCCTTACTTAGAACCTTTCAGCAACTTCCAATTTTATCTAAAGTAAAATGCCCAATCCCTTAGTTTGATCGTGCCTTGCCTCTGTCACACTCTATTATCTCAGGCCCTTTTCCCTATTTATCTATACTTTTCTGACCACACTGACTCTCCTTTCAGATCGTTGTATACACTGAGCTCTTTCCTGCCTCAGGGCCGTTTTTTTTTTTTTTGAGACGGAGTCTCGCTCTGTCACCCAGGCTGGAGTGCGTAACTCATTTACCACACGCAGCCAGCAAATTGGATAGCACCAGATATGGAACACTATCCATCGCACTTGCCAGAAGGTGTGTATGAGGCAGTGATGATATGAGACGGCTCCCTGCAGTAAGGAAAAAATTTGTGTTTGTTTTTTTTGAGACCTGTCTGCCGCCCCTGTTTTGGCCCGGGCTGTGGCTCATCAGTGGCGCGATCTCGGCTCACTTACAAGCTCCCCTCCCGCGGGTTCACGCCACTCTCCTGCCTCAAGCCTCGCCTGAGTAAGTAACTGGGACTACGGTTGCGCCCGGCCATCGACAACCCCGGATAATTTTTTGCATTTTTAGTAGGATTGGGGGTTTCACT